AAAACAGCACTATCATCTATGTTATGTTTGTTTTACGTCAGGTGAAAATTAGGATGTATGTGTGCAAGTGACAGCTTTGTGTCACTTTAACATTTGGAGTTCCAGTGACAGGACCAGCACAGAAGCAAAATGATCTTTTCTCCTTGTGACATTTGAGCTGAGAAATGAGGTTCCTAGTAAGGCCTTTTGGAAGGACTCAAAGAATGCTGGCATCACTCCAAGGGAGATGGATTATGGAAGGGAGATTGGCGAAACACTGAAAGGATGAATAAATGATTTTGTACCACGTGTGATGGCCCACTCTTCTCACACCGTGACTGCTGGCAGTGATGTCGCCCATTGGACCTGATCACTTGCTTTGGGTCACTCCTCCATCTTTATATAGTGCACTTATTTAATTTGAAGAAAGTGCAATCAATAAAAAGTGATCCTTTTATCTTCCTCATCAATCTCTTAATGAACATGCACTTTTTTTTTCTTCTTAGATTCTTGGTTACAATGCTTTAAATTCCTCAATGTATGGTAAAAAAAGGGGCGCAATCAAACTCATGATGGAGCAGTTGGTGCTGCAAGTTCCTGGTTGCTTCCTACTGAAGAATGGGCAAGTTCTTAAAGGAAAGTGGTCATCTTGGGAAGGTGGTGCAGATCACTTGTCCTGCATTGATGTATGGTCCTCTGAGTATTCTTTCTTTAGCTGTCATACAGGAAAGCCATGAATAACCACTTGTGAAGAGGTATTTTAATTTCCTAATGTCCCAGCAGTTTCAAGACAGTAGATAATTCTTAAGGAATCTTTTTGTGGACTAAAGGAGGTAGATAGTTGAAATCCAATGGCTTCCAGGAGAATGACTCACCAAGCCTATTTTCCAGAATTTTCAGCAGGTTTGGGTCTTAACATGGTATAACTGAAGGGTCAGCTGAGTTAAATGGTACTTGTGCTCTAGTTTGCAGGATGATGTTGGTTGTAATCACACATCTGTTCACATCTTTGTGACTGGCCAGAGAAAATGGTGCTCTGAATTTTCTTAATATGAAGTCCACCTCCTTTTTAGCACCTATAAAACTGGTATTTTTATCTCCTTGAGCCTTTTGGGAATGAAACTTTGCAAAAAAAAACCCCACTTGATTCTTTGCAAAAACACTCCGTGAAATAAAATTACAGTTTTCTAAGGCTCTTAGTTTCAACCTGTTATTTGGCAGGAGTCAAATCTCAGTCTAGATTAATTTCATTAGTGTAGACTCAAACTTCATTTTCCTGTAAGCCAAAGAGACCCAAGCTACGTGGGAATCAGGAATAAATCTTTGCACAAGAAGCTAACCTTATTGCAAACAGGAAAGTAATTTCCTTCCTTATCCTGCTGTATTTACCACCAATGGGCTACCCCTGTAAAACTTTGTTACCTGCAAGGTCATGCTCCCACATGATTTCTTCCAGAGCCTCCTTTCTAGGGAGCCAATTCCCAGCCACTCCTTCAGCCGGGGCAGAGTCCATGTTTAAGCGCAGCATGCCACTGCTAGCATGTCGCTACAGAAATGTAAAAAGCTCAAGCCTGCAGCTGCAGGATGAAGCTTTTATGCATTGCTTTGGGGGCAAGGGGAACACAAAGGACCCCCAAAGACAGCAAACTTTACCTTCAGTTAATACTTTTATCTTCAGACCGAAAATGAGAGACCATCATCAATCAGCTTTTACTGCAGCCTCGAGAGCAGACTCAGAAAGTAATGTGCTCACGTACCCACCCCGGCGCGGTAGCGAGCACGGGGTTTCATTTTGATCCAAAAGGTCCCGGGAGGAACCGGCCCGCGAGGTGTAGGATTGCGGCATGGCAGGCAGGCTGTGTTCTGGCCCTGGCTAGGGCCACCTGTGGAGCGGGGCCAGGGAAGCTGGCTGGCCGATGATTCAGCACCTCCTTTCGCCCTCCTTGGCGGGGAATAGCGGGAGCCGCCAGGCAGGCACCCCGAAGGCGGGGGCAGCGTCCCGGCTGCCGCTCCGCTCCTCTCGCCTCAGGCCCCCCAGCCCCCGCGGAGCTGTGGGGCTGGAGCAGCTCTGCAGGCTTCCCTGCGGAGGGCGGCAGGAGGAGGAGGAGGTCTGGGCAGAGCCGGCTGCGTGATGCTGAGGCAGGCAGGCTGCGCGCCAGGGCTGGAGGTGCGGCGGGGGAAGGGACCCGCAGCGGAGGAGGGCACTGCAGCCTGGCCGGGAGCCAGGGACCACGGGCACGCTGCGGCCGCGGAGCCGGCGGGGCTGTGCGGCTCTGCCTGCCTGCCTGCCTGCCTGCCGGGAGGAGCTGCTGCGGGCGGGCTGGGCCTGACGGTGGAGGAGAAAAAGGCACGGAGAGATGCTGTCCAGCCTCGGTTTAGCCAGCTGGGCTGGGGCAGGAGCCGTCTGGAAGAGCCCATTCCCGGTCCGTGCGAGCTGGCGGCCCCTGCGGCAACAGGCTGAGAAAGAGGGCGATGTCCCCACATGCAGAGGAACCCCTGAATGTGTCCCCCATGCAGGGGTTTGAGTGTTCGGTTTAACTTCGTGGCAGCCCTTGTAAGGAATGTGCAAGATCTCCACGTTCAGCACCGCACCAGGAAGATGTGAGCAAAGCAGGAACATGTTTTAAAGGAGAGCAGATGAGTGTAGATAGGATGGAGGGTCACGAAGATTACTGGAGATTGAATACAGGCAGTTTGCCAGGAAGACCAGTGAAGGAAAGATGTGAACACGACTGTGGATTAAACACAGGCTCAGAGAAGTGTCAGCAGGGAAAATTCTCTAACTTGAAATAGGAAGGTTGAAAAATCAGACATGGATAAAGAAGGAAAGTCATTTAAGTGCTCAGATGCTGTAGTATTTAATCTGTGCAATGAATAGAATACTCCCAGCTGGTTCTCAATTTGCACTCCACTTTGAAGAGTGATGCTGTAGCTTCACACCTGAGGAACAACTTGGGTGTGCAAAAGTATGTTTAGTTTTCCCAGATTTATCAGTTAATCAAAAAAAAGGTACATCCTTTCTCTAGAAACCATGCATACTTGTAGCCACAGACCACCACACCTGTCACAGCAATGCTGCTGTTTTGTTACACTTTCTGCAGAGGTTGTGTTGTTACTACTGTTTGAAATAGGTTTTGAGATACTCCAGAGAGGCTGTGCTGATGCAGGATATTACCAGTAAAAGAGAACATGTGCTTTGTAATAAGAGAAGCCATGTATGTAAATATGCAGTGCAAGCTGTTCATTCTGCCTGAGGTTGCTGATCACGTCATTAACCTAAGGACCAGACACTTCAGTGGTAATGTAGGCTAGATTGCAAGATGATTTATCTTTTTACATTCTTTCAGAGAGTGTTATCACTGGCTTTGCTTTAAGGTAAACGCTCCAAGCACTTGACTGTAGTAGTATTGTGATTACTTCAGCTGGCTACTACAACCTCAGAGGAAGCTTTGTGATCAGACATCCATCACTTAGTCCTTGAGATGACAGTCTGTAAAAACACTGTGGGATTCATTGAGATTTGATAAATCTTTTTCATGCAAATTTTACTAATGTTCCCATGGAAGGGAGGGGTGAGATGGGAGTGGAGTTGGAGGCAGTGAGAGCATGGATAGAGCCAGATGCCTCTTTTGACACTACCAGAAATACATAACTACAAAGAAATTTACCTTTCATGTGCCTAAATAAGACACCATCAAAAATTAGTGCAGAGCAATTTGTAGCACTTGATTCTTTGTTTCCTTATGCATCCTGCAGCCATTTATACTAAGAAGAAAGGTGGAGTCTCACCAGCAAAACTTCAAAGCAAATGTTTTCATTAAGTTCAAGGAACTGGAAATTGTGTTATAAGCCCCTTGCCTTTCTTTATCTTTCATCTTTATTGTTACACAGGTGTACTTTTCCGTGAGAGACAAGAGACTGGGAATAGATCTAGTCTTGCTTTCATTATGTTAACCGGACTGTTGATTGATTCCTGTATTATTACTGTTCTGGTGGAAATGGTAGTGCTATGTACTAGTAAAGGTGAAAAATGGCAGCCAAATTTAAAACAAAGTGTAAGCCTTTAATTAATACTAATAATAAATAATGAAATTGTTTATATTTTATTTTATTTTTTTAGTCTAAGGTGTGTGAGAATATATTCTAGCAACATGTGAGCTCTTGAAAAGTGCATTCAGGAATTGACTTTTGTGTGAAGTCTGGTGGGTTTTGGTATTGGAAAAGGGTTTGGAAATGAGGTTGGAAAATGGAATTTTTAAAAAAGCATTTTTAATAACTTGATCTGTTTCAATAACTTGAATGAAAATTTATCAGAGGTGGGAATGAATTGGGGTTTTTTATTTCCTCTGCTTGATCTAAGATGCATTCCAGCCTTATTCCCAGGAAACAAAACTTACTTGGAAGCTTGGAAAGAAAAGCTGTCTCTAGGTGTCAGGCAGGGAGAAACTGTTCTGGAAAGAGGTCTTCCCCCCGGGAGAGATCGAATATCAGACTAAGCGAGCCCAGTCCAACCCAGAGCTCCCACTGACACCCGGTCCTTGCCGGAGGACTTTGCCATCGATGGCCGCCGCCGCCTCTGGCCACGCTTTGCCTGGAGAGAGGGAGTGGGTGGGTGCGCAACTCCGGTCCGCTCCCTCCCTTTGATTTGATGGCCTTTATTCCTCCTAATTGGATAAAATAGGAAGTCACTGACAGTCCTGCGTTGCTGGGTGTACTGATTTCACTCAGAGCAGCCCTGCAGAGTGCGGGGGGTGGGGTAGGGGAGGAAGGAGCGAGTCTGTACATCAGGGAAACAGGCTGCGAGGGGGCTGGGGAAGCGGGGCGGGGGGGAACGGAGGAAAGTGAATGAGCGCTCAAGGAGGACAAAGAGGGAGGGGAGATAAAGGGAGTTACCACCGTCTTGGCATCGCTCTTGCTTTCAAACCTCTCTGTAATGATATTGTTTGCAGTGATGCTCAGACAGCGAGCACCTGCTGCTCTGTAATGATTCAGCCTCTTTCAGCCGCCGCTGTAACACGACAGGATGCTGCTGCTACTGTCACTTCTGCCGCTGCCGCTGTTGTTAGAGATTTTGCTTTTGCTCCTTCTACTGCATGACAATTGTTTTCCTCGTCTAAGCAGATACCAGCCTCAGATGCTCAAGGTGAGAGTCTTGCCTTTCGCTCTGGGCTACTGGTTTACTTAATCCGGTTAGTTTGTTCAGTGTTCGTGGTTTTCCTTATCTCATCACCCTCCTTCCCCCTGTTTTGTTTTGTTGTGCTTGCTTTTGGGGGAATGTTTCTTCCCCCTGCAGAAGAGCTGGAACTGCTTGAGAGGCGTTTAAGGAATTATAAAAGTGGCTAGCAAACAGGAGCTCAGTAATTGCAAAGCTATTCTCACTTCAGAGAAGCAGAGACAGTGACAGAGGGCTTGGGGGCACACAGGGACTGGGGGGATCTAATTTTTCCTGTGCATTCCTCCTCTCCCAGTTTGGATGATGTTCTTGAGCTTCGACCTTTTATTGACTCCCACTCTGTGACTTTTGCAGAGCACTGTGACTATTACTACCGTCTCTTTTTGTCTGTGTCTCACAGTAATGGACTGTGATAGAGTTAAGGCCTTTTGGAGGTGAGCTGTTTGAGAGCTGATGCTTAAACATGTCTGAAGTAGCTGCCGACACTTTCCCCAGCCCCTCAGCACAGCTGAGCCCTGATGTGTCCCTCAACGGGCTCCCGGATGAGGAGAACATGCCGGGGACCCAAAGAGAGGACAGGAGGGTCCAGGGGATAGCAGGCCTTGCCGCAACCTGCTGTGCGTGCCTGGAGGCAGAGCGACTGAAGGGCTGCCTCAACTCTGAAAAGATCTGCATCGCCCCTATCTTGGCTTGCCTGCTTAGCCTTTGCCTCTGCATTGCTGGCCTCAAGTGGGTCTTTGTGGACAAGATTTTTGAGTATGACTCTCCTACCCACCTTGACCCTGGGAGGATAGGACAAGACCCAAAGAGTGCTGTGGATCCTACAGCTCTGTCTGCCTGGGTGCCTTCGGAGGTGTATGCCTCACCCTTCCTCGTACCTAGCCCCAAGAGCAAGGCTGAAGTGACAGTGCACAGTGACAGCTCACTCGTACCCTCCAAACCGTTCCTCCAGCCTTCTCTATATAACCGCATCCTAGATGTTGGGTTGTTGTCCTCTGCCGCGCCTTCGCTGTCACCACCCGCCCTGGAGCCTACCACAGCGTCTCAGGCACAAGCAACAGAAACCAATCTCCAAACTGCTCCAAAATTTTGTAAGTAAAAGCTATGTGTTTCTTTGGTTTTTCCCCTTCCACAAAAAAAAAGAAAAGAAAAGAAAAAAAAAAAAAGAGAGAAAAAAGGCACTCAACTGTTCTGGGACTATCTACAAGGAAGGCATGTGATTGACTTGCAAAGCTTAAGCGTGCTAAGACAGGTATAGTATGGTTTGCCTTCTGAGAACTGCATCTGGAGTCCTCAGAACTAAGTTCTGTATGCAGGACTTTATCTGGGATGTGTGTAAAGGGCTAGTACCACTGTTTTCTCTGCATCCACTTGTAGGGAAGTATGTGATTTGCTTCAAGGATTTATCTGATAGCTATACCACATGGTCTATTTTCCTTATAAATTGGCTTTGTCTCCTTGTTGGATCTTCCATGTGTGTTCTTTGCCTTGCCTGCAGAGCACTTCTGGTACATCCTTCCTGAAGTCTGTGGCTGGCAAATATCCCTATAATCCTCATTAAACTCTCAGAACAGTGAGAAAAAGTGACAGCAGGTTTGAAGAAGTTAGAAACTGGGAACTATTAACTTAGCATCTAGCTTATGATCTTTACCTTTCTCATAAGAGCAAAGCATACATTTCTCTGTGTCTTTCCCCATCTCTAGGAGCTGTTCTTTGTTTAACTTGTTTCTCATGTATTGCTTTACTGCCTTTTGTGGGGCATTTCAGGAAAGCATTCTTGCCGATGTAGAAAGAGTCAAATTAGTCTTTGCTTATCATGAAAACAAACAAAAAAAGGTATCTGCATTATTTTCTCAGTAGTTATCATAAAGTATCAAAATACTGCATTGCTGAAGTGTCATTTCTTTGACATTCATGATTTTAACCTATCAAATTCAAAGCAGATCAAGCCAGCAATTCCTGAGCTGTGTAAAGCTGTATAACTCTAGTAAAAGAGAAGGCAGCACTCTTCTGCTGAGAGCACAGGGCTCAGGTTTCCTGTGGAAAGCTGCAGTGATCAGAGTGAAAAATTGCATTTCTCACAAATTTCCTCGCAGAACCCCATGTCATTTATTCTCCATCATGCCTTCCCTATAATACTGCGGGTTGGCCACATTGAAGATGGCACACACTGGACCTCACCCTGGAGCTCTGAAGTCACCAGTAGTTCACTTCTACTTTTAGCTGCACTGGGGCTGGACTTAGTATAGATAGATATGCAGTTTTTGGATTAGATCTCACATTTTAGGCCAAACACCTTGCCAGTGAAAATGAGCATAACTACAGTGATTTCAGAGGAGGTCCTTTCAGCTGAGAGTCAATCTTGAACAGCAGCTCCAGAATCAATGAAAGAAAGTTCTGTTCCTGTAGAAACCCTGCTGCTTTTTGCTTAGATAGTGGGTGACAGCCATCCTTCAGATTAAAAGTAATTTGTCAGATGGAAACAGTCTATAGAGAAATACTGCTGTACCATTAAATGACAGGGGGCTTTGTCTGTGGTATTACTTGAATTAACCACCTTTGCAATTAAAATAGAACTATACTAAGTGAGCTTTTCTTTTAAATCTTGCTGATGCATAAAATCTTTTTTTTAGTGCAAATATTATGACATTAATTATATGACTTTTTAACACATTTTGCTTCATAAAATGACCAGAGACTGCTATTCAGTCATAATTGCCTCAAGAATCCCTCTTGAATTTCCACATATGTGGCAAAACTTTATCAGTAACATGCTTGCTAACTTCATCTCTGAAGTAAAGGAAGAGGCAGAGGGTCAAAGAAAAGATTCTTTGGAGCTGTCACTGACAAAAAGCCATTGTCTGCATTCAGATCTGCTCACATCTGGGAAATGAATGGTGGTCCAGAAGTTAGGTGGTTGAGTTGACAGGGTTTTTTTTAATTTTGATTTGGGGGTTTTGTGTGTGTAGGAGTTTTTGGGTTTGGGGTTTTTTGTTTATTTTTACCTTATTTTTTTAAAGATAAACGTGTTTAAAAGCATTGTAGACTTTCATAGATACAGACTGAAAGGAGAGGGAGAACTGATAGATCAAGTTTGGTTTGCTCTGGGGGAGAATGCTGTGTAGACAGAATTTATTCTAACTGTGGCACATAATTCTGACTATGGCAAGCGTCTCTGATTCTCTGCAAAGAACAATAAGAAAATCTAGCTGAAAAATACACTGCAGAAGGTCTGCCTAAGAATTCCAAGAGGCATGAAAAGAACTTTTTTGGACAGCTCTTAAAGCACTGTCTTGGGGTTTTTGAAACAGCTGCATTTCAAACACATCATTGTGTTTTATGTAGAGCAAGATTTGTTGGAGTGGTTGACAGATTGCATCAGTGCTAACTTTTTTTTTTTTTAATGCCTTTGACTGCTATAAAATTCTCAGTGACATGGCTTGAAAAGTAGCATCTGCAAATTGGATTGTCCCTTCTTTTGCCTTTCAATGTCCTTTTTTACTTTTCAGGCAGAGTGAGGTAACATGCCCCCGGAAAGTCCTTTGTGTGCTGAAATTTTTTTTCCAGTGCAGAAATAAAATATAGAAATAAAAATAGAATTAAATAATAAAGAAAAATTTCACATTTCATATTCTGTGCTTAATGTACTGTTTCTGAACCTATCCCTTCCATGAGTTTCCAAATCCTTTTCTCTTCTCTTTTCTGTCTTACTCAGCATATTCCCCCTTAAAGCTATATCCTTCAAGGTCATAGTCTGCAGAGGGCTAATTGATTCTTCTTTCTCCTGGAGCCTGGAAGAGAAAGCAGAAGAGAGACAATCCTGATAATTGTGTCTGGTGTATTAGATTCAAGACTGGTCTTGCTCCTTTTGTTATTCTCTGCCCTTTATCAGAATCTATATCTATGCCTTTTATACAGAAATATTTCTTTCTGTTTAGCTTACCTTTTGTATTTTAATATAACTTTTCCTTTGCTGAAAGAGGAAGGAAAGGTGAATGTTTTAAAGCTTTCCCATATTTAGGGAGCTTGTCAATCTTAGCATAATTACACCAGAGAGGATATTATTACAAGCAGGATATAATAATACATCCTAACCTACAATCTCACTCCCTCTGAGAAGACATGCAGATTGTAATAATGCTAACTCAGTTCAGGAGCTAAATTTCACTTCTTCTATCACTATCATCTTTAAATACAATTTCACCCTTTATCCAGGCTGGTTAGAGATTCAGCTCTGTAGTACTGCAAAATCTGTGTTTCTGTAATAATAGCTTTTATATATCAGCAAACCAACCATACCCCTCTTTAAAGGTCTTCCTACAGCCTCCTCTTTCCACTTAAGAAGATTTCTCCACAAAACACCCAGAAAGGCCCATGTGGAGCTTGCCTTTCTGGCGTGGCAGCTCTGCCAAAGCAGTGCAGCACTCCTGTGCTTTGGTTCAGAGCGCTGCAGGGCTTGGCAAGCCAGCCCAAGCAGGCCTTGGCTTTGGGACCACAACTCTGATGACTTTGTGAAGTGCCACTGGGCACACAAGAGACGGGGCAGGAGACAGACCACAACATGTTTTTTATGGTGTGGAGCAGAGCTAAAGGCCCATCAGAGAGCAGGGGCTGGAGGATGCACGTGCCCCGTGGCACATCCACACAGCCTCTGCATCCATTTCACTTTTGGCTTCCCTGGCCAGCTCAGGTACCATTCGCTGAGGGGCCAGCTGCACACATGCCATGCTGGTGGCCAGCAGATGATCAACAGGTGTGTCTTCATCTCCCTACAGCAATGGACCTGTGCCTGTCCCTTGGGAGGCAAGCAGAACTCCTTTTCATCTCACTTGTGCTGGCCCTCACCTAGAAAATGTGGCCAAGTGGAAAAAGGGTTCTACATTACTGTCAGCCACCTCTGACTGGGACAACTCCCCTCGCCGGTTTCTGATTTCTGCTTCCATTTCAGGTGCGCTGGCTCAGTGTTAGCAGAGGATGCTGTTTCCTCATCCTCAGTGGAAAAAAGTTTAAAATTGCTTCTGAGGCCTGGTAGTGGCTGTCTACCTTGGAAATGGTCTCAGTTCCCCTCCTACTTTGACAAGCTCTACTCCAAGAGTAACAAGTTCCCTAATTATGGCAATGCTTTAAAGCATTCACTTTTCCTTTCTCTTTCAGCAAGAGAAAAATAATATTAAAATACAAAAAGTAAGTCAAAAGTAAAGGAATATTTCTGTATTGATAAAGGCATGGTGTAATAAAAGGAGCGAGACCAGTCTTGTGTTGAGGCACAATGCCTAAATTTCTTACGTCTTTTTAGAGATATAGATGGGGAAAATTGCATACAAATTGTATTGTACCTTATATCATACCATAAATATTCCTTACATTTTTTTCCCCACCTCTTTCACTTCCACTCATTCTTTCTCAGCTCTGCATTTGATGTTGTTTCACCTGTTTACAATGATTTGGGAAGGTCTATATTTAAGCTTGATGGCAGTCTAGAGGGAGCCTCTCCGTCCACTTAAAGGTGCTGCAGCCCTCTAACTTCAATTTAAGGACAGAGGGTTTGTTCATAGCATCTTCATGCAATTTTTGTTCTTATTCTTGAAAGAGTCTAATTCTGACCCATGCAGAAATATGTGTGTTGAAATACCCATGTGTTTCAAATCCCTACCACAACACCATAGGGTTGAGTCCATGCTTGGCAGCTTCTGAGCATGTCAAGGTCAGGGATGTCTCAGAGAGCTGCAGGGGACTGTACTTAGGGGAGGGGAAAGGAGATAATACAGTACAGGCTCTACTTCAGCCTTTTCTGTGCTCACTGTTGCTCTACAGGGCAGTGCCACAGGAGAGAATGATTTTCCCCAAAACTTGAAGATGCAAGAGGAGAGCAACTTAAAGCTCATGCTGGTCCATTTCTGTCACAGTACTGGATCTGATTAGCTTCAGATACCTGACTTAAGTGCCTGCATTAGGAAGCTAGTTAGCCTTCAGCTGCATATCCAGCATTAAGGGAGAGACTTTCCCCAGGCGATTCCCAGAGTGACTCTAACAGGAGTCACTCTCTTTCCACGGGAGTCTACAGGGAGACTACCCTTGCAATTCAGTTTCT